ACTTCAGGGACACATGTTTGATTTGGGCGCATTTATTGCAACACAGACCGACGGTACAAGTGGCACATGCAGAGCTGTAGGGTTGAGCTAACGTGTGGAAATTAGTCTTATCCTGAGTAATACAAAATAACTCCTGAGTGCTTCTTCAATCTGCCTGCCATAGTGCCGAAACATAAAAACACATGAAAGTGCATTGGATGCTGCAGTTTCAAGCTTGTTGGGCTAAAAAGCGCTTAGCTCGTACTTTTTTGTTGTTGTTGTTTTTTGAGTCGATTTTATTTTAACGCCAGAATCTTTAGCATACTGTGATACATGGAAGAGGTGCATTCTGTTAACGCTCTAATGAGTCAGGGTGCAGGTCACCCACAGCACATGCAGTAGTAAGAACACTGGACATGTGTGCTGATAGTCTGGTCTCGTTTAGATCTAAAAAAAAAAAAATCACATTTTTTTTTCTTTTGTTTTTTTTACAAAAAATGAATTTCAAATGTTGGCTAATCGCGCCCAGCTTGTTGCCGCTTTGCCTCGGTCTGAATCAAAATAATTTAGGTTCAGAGAGTGCAGCGTTTCTTGATCTTGTTAACATGGGTTTCCTTTTTCCTTTGTGGTTGGGTTCAAACTTGTGTTTTTCGCTCTCAACAATGAACGGTGTTGACTGACAATGGCTGACTGGATTATGCCTGTGTCCGTGCGAGGATTCCCACTCGAGAATTGCATCTGATTTTAATTCGGTGTTGCCTCGGGGCCTTAGGTTAAGAAGAAGAAGGAAAGAAAAAAGGAAAAAAGAATATCAGGGCCATTCACTATTGTTTCTTCCTGGCCTTGTCTTGGATAAAGGGACTTCTCATGAATTTCCAATCACTGAATCCAATGTTTTACACAGGGAAAAGGAGCCGTCTTTACTGTTTGTCTTTGGTGCAGCAGCAGAGGAGTTTGCAGGGTGATTTGACGCCATCACAGCTTTTTCAGGTATGGTCTATGAACAGTTTTCTGTCTTAGTTGGGTTTTGTTCCCCGTCCACCCCACCGATTTCTCTATAGCGGGAACCCCTGCTGCGGAAACGTATTTACGCAGCAGGGTGTATTCACTGGATTCACTGCAGCTAACGTCACGCTGAAAGCAGAACTGAGTATCAAAGTGAGGAGTCAAGCTCGCCGATTCAGGCTTTTCTTTTTGCCTGAAACAGAAATGCAAATGGAAACTCTTGCAACCAAAAAGTTGGTAGTGTTTCTGAACAGATGTTGCCTGGAAATTCATGGTTATTAATCATAGTAAATATGTTTTTAATCGATTCAAAAGCCAACTGTTTTACTTTTCCAGAGCCGATGAACGCGCCCTGGAAAAGTATCGACGTCCCTTAAACTGTTGGAGAGGTTTTCATATTCTAAGAACAAGCTTCAATATAGTTTTCTTCTGGGATTTGTGTGGTAGATCAACACAAAACAGTACAAAATGGTGAAGGTGGAAAGAAAATGATTCAAGGTTTCTGAATGGATCCATGTTCGGTGTTGCGCGCTCTGAATTTAATACGGCGTGGCTCGTTGCACTATGAGGGCGTTGGCAGCATCATGCTGTGGCAATGCTGTTCTTTAGCAGACGCCTAAAACACGGCAGGACTGGAAGAAAACCTCTAAAAAGCCTTGGAAGAGTTGGGACTTCTTCTTCGGCCAGGACAACAACTCCAAATTTATAAAATGGATGAGATCAAGGAATATGAATATCCTCTTGAACGCCGGCCAAACTGACCACCGCAACAAAATGTTTTAAAAGGTCACAGGTTCAGAGGTGTTGGACTCCAACTTGGTTTATTACAGAAAGAAAAGTTTGAATAATCAGGTAAGGTTAATCGGAGTGGATTTTAGTTTTTCTTTCACGAAGCCCTTTGTACGTGCGCTGACCAGCAGTGTGAGCACACACCCCCACCCTCTCCATGTTGCGGTTTAGCAGCTGTGGTCAAAGTGAGCGACTCTCACTTGATGAAAGGTGAGGAGAGGGAGGAGCTGAGCTGAGCAAACATGCCCGCTAATTCACCCTGGATTTGTTTAGGTTTTGGAGAGTTTTTGCTTTAAATCTGCGAGTGTCAGAAACTCCGCGCTGTTTTTCTGCGCAGTGGAGGCTGATGGGGAGAAGGGGCTGAGGGGAGGAGAGGAGAGGAGGAGAAAGCGGAGCTTTTGTTCTGGATGCAGGCAGGCGGACGCCCATCCTGCTACCTTTCCACTGAGAGAGGAAGCCCTGCGCTCCACTTCCACCGGCCTCCTAATCCAAACTTCTGGACAACTTGGCCTTCAAGATGAGCTTAGCTTTTTTTAAACGCATCCATATGCGAGTGCTCTACGAGCTTTGTGTTTATTTGTGTATGACTGTCTGGTTTAACTCCCACTTTCAACAGCTGCGGCAAATACAGGCAGACCTTCCATTGCCAAGGCTCCTTCTTACTCCTACTCTGCTTCTGTCTGCCTCCAACGTCTGTCTGTCTGTCGGCCGTCTTTCTTTCTTTCTCTTTCTTTCTTTCTTTTTTCATGTTCACCCCCCCCCAATCTGCCCCGAACACTCCCCCCTCTGTTTCTCCAACACACACACACACACACACACACGCACACACACACACACACACACACACACACACACACACACACACACACACACACACACACACACACACACACACACACACACCCACACACACACACACACACACACAGGCACATGATGCACACACCTCAGGCTTGATATTCATAGCCTCCTCCTCCTTTGCTTGACATGGGAGCTTTAACAGATGTGCCCCAGCCTTGAGCTGCCTCCCCTCTCTGTCCCCCGCGCTCTCTCTGCGTCTCTAGTGTTTCACAGAGATAGCTTTAAGCTTGAAAGAAGAAAAAACAAACAAACAAACAAACAAACAGAAAAATCAAACAAGAGATGTCAACAGAAATTGATTTGAAATATATCCCCTAAGTGTCACCTGAAAAGGTTGAATGTGAGGAACGGTTAAAATCCGTGATGGGATTAAGTGGTTCTGTTGTGATCATTGAGGTTCTAATAAAGACAAAACATATTGCTGTATTTACTTGGACTATAAATTTTACAAACTAAATCCTGCTAATTTGTTGAATATACAGAGCCAGCCTGAGGCATACATGAACAAATCTGCTGCTTATGTCCTCCGGCCTGCAGGGGGCACCCAAGAGCACTCAAGTTCTCATGTATTGAGCTTCAAATTTAACATTGCTTTTACATATTTTACTATTGAACGATCAGAATGTTGATAGTTTCGACATTTCAGCCTTGTGTTTGTATGTGTGTGTCGTTAAACTGCTAACTAGTCAATAATAATCCAGACACAATCGCCAGTAGAAGAAATACCCTTATTTCCACAATTACTTTTTACTGTTTCCTGATTTATTACAACATAGAGAACTTATATTTTTGGTTAATCAGTTCAACATTTGAACATATCATTCTATACAGAGTGATATATTTCAAGTTAATCTTGATGATTATTGTTTATAAGCCGAACAAAAATCCAAAATTCTGATTTCATGAAAACAATAAAAAATATATTGGGATAAAGGAAATAATAGCAATGTTCTGTACACTGTCTTTAAGTAGTATTCCCCATGAGTCACTGCATCAGTGCTGCGTAGCATGGACCTGATCGAGGTATTTAAAGATGGCGGCCTCGCGGTCATCTGTGTTGTTGCCTCTGGTGCAACTCACCTTCCTCACGACAATGCTCCGCAGATGCTCTGCCGGGATGTAGGTCAGAGCAGCGTGTGCTGCTCACTCGAGCACAGCGACACCGTAGCCAAATATAGCAGGTACTAGTACTTCTGGCAAGTGCCAAGTTCTGCTGGAAAAAATAAAATCAGCATCTCCATAAGACTTGTCAGCAAGGGGAGGCATGAAGTGCTCTAGAATGTCCCGGTCAACAACAAGACGATGACACGGCTGGAACTCAAGCGGCTCGGCGTCTGTGGCGCTCCGCTCGTCCTCGACGTTGATTTCAAATTGAATTCAAACGAACCTGCTTCCATCTGTTAAAGAGGACTTTGGTCCACTCAGCAACAGTCCAGTCCATTTCTCACCTCGGTCCAGGTGACATTCTTGGCACGTTGCCTCCTATTCAGGTCGTTCTTCGTGGGAAGAGAACGTGACCTTTACTCTCCACGTTTACGGGTCCGGCTGCAGTCCACAGTTTGAACGTTTGTAATTCATTCTTTAACGGGTCTCACTTCCAAATGCCCTGAATGCTTGTTCACCTTAACATATCACTTTTTTTTCCTTTCACTAAACTTTCCATCAATGTGGCGGGAAGGAGTGGAGAGTGCACTACAAGATGAAAAGCCAGCTTTTTAAATATGCAGGTCAAATCATCACATTTCTTAAAAATAATATCATATTGTTATTGGTGTAATCTACAATTTCTCAGAAACTGCATTTTTTTGAGAGGGGGGATTTGTATTTCTGTAGCGAGTCTATATCATATATTAATTTCACTTTTTAAATTCAATTACCGGAATTAATTAACATGTCGATGACGTCCTAATTAGAATAGACGGGCCTGCAATGTGAATTGAGATTAGGGACCCCCAAACTAAATCCTGCTCGGAGCTCCATGCAGTCACGGGCCAGATATATTTGTCACATAGCCAAAAATAAATAAATAAATAAATGAATAAATAAATGAATAAATAAATACTAATGTAGAAAAAAAAACACGGAGATTTGACGCTGCTTTCTAACCTCACGTCGTCTTTCATATTTCGGTTCTATTTTCTATCAAATGATCCACGTGCCTCATTTGCCACCTAATGTGTGTTAAAACCCAGCCGAGCGCTCTTTAGGGCTTTTCAGCGGAGCCTTCTCGGTGTGTGTGCTTCTCTCTGAGCGAGTGGTTGTGTGTGTCTCCGTGTGCGCGCGCAGCCAGTGCCGTGCGCTGGAGGCTTATGGTAATTGCGGTCTCCCGACTGGCCTTCTGGGTAGAGTCTGCGCGAGTGGGAGTGGAAGCGAGTCGCTCAGTCTCGGCAGCGTTCATCCATTCTCTCTCGCTCTCTCTCTCTTTCTCTGTGCGTGTGTGTGTGTGTGTGTGTGTGCGTTTGTGCGCGTTTGTGCGCTCGCGTGTGTGTGGGCGGCACTCCCCGTAATCACACAGCTCTGTGTGCGTCCTCGGTGCGAACCGAGGGGCTCCCGACACGGGCTGTTCTCTGCCACTCTGGAAGCGAAAAGAGGATCGGAGCGAGAAAGTGGAGGAGAAGAAGAAGAAAAAGGGGGGAGAGAAAAGAGAAACTACGCGGGACAGACTCCCCTCCGAAGCCGCCTTCTTGTCGCACGGATTCCGCTGTTTTGGAAGCAGGGAGGGCGGGGGACGCGCGGAGCGGAGCGGAGCGCAGCGACGCAAAGCGGGAGGAAAAGGGGCTTTTTCCGAGCACGGCGTGCTCCGTTCAGACCCAACATGGCGCTGCTGCGAGGTACGGACGAGCTGATTTAATTTCTCCGCCGAGCTCACCTCACCACCTGTGTCCTCTGAGCGGCTCGGATCGAACAGTTTTTTTTTTCTTTCTTTCTTTCTGACTGGTCGGATCCTCTTTTGTGGATTTTTTTCCCCTCTTTCTTTCTTTCAGGATTTCCCCCCTCCGTCTCTCCGTGTCGGCGCAGGATCTTTTTGTAGCTCTATGGAAGCTCCTAAAAAGTCCGCTTGAAATAGTGAGTGAAGGATGAGAGTCGGCTGTAGACAATAGGACACACATTGAGGGGTTTATTTGTAAGATTTGCCTCGTTCCGTGACAAGTGGATAACCTGTTAGACACTTTTTTTATTCTTTATTTTTTTTCTCCTCCTCCTGGCCGGGATCGTCTGTCTCCAGCAGACAGGAGCGGAACCGGGGGCCAGTCTACGTATACGTCCACGCACTGGGAGACAAAAAAAAAAAAAAAAAAAAAAAAAACAGGACAAAAGACTTGAATCGGACACTACGGAACTTGCACCATTTAAACAGGTGAGCCGAAAACAAAAGACTAATCTGAATGTGTTTTATTTCCCCATCACCATGTGTGAAATCCCCCTTTTTCCGGACCCCCGGAAAAAGAGAAAAAAAGAAAAAAAAAACAAAGAAAAACAACAAACGTGCTCCGCTTATATATATATATATATATATATATATATATATATATATATATATATATATATATATATATATATATATATATATATATATATATATATATATATATATATATAATTTGTGTCCGTAACGGTTTTGGCTGTTTTACATGCTTCAGTGTGATTTTCCCGGGAAGAAGAAATGAAACAAAACAACACAAAACAAAACAAAAAAGACCCAGACTGGCTGCTGATCGCGATGATGTGCGCAGGGACTGTGGGAGAGGATCGGACCACTTCTAAGAATAGCGCATAGGGTGGTCTTTGTGCGTTTCGGCGGGGCAGCGGCATGTGGTTGATAAACAACGCGCACACACCGCACACACACACGCGCGCGCGCACACCCCGCACACACAAGCAAGCGCACGCACGCACGCACGCACGCACACACACACACACACACACACACACACACACACACACACACACACACACACACACACACACACAGCCTGCGCTCCCAGCGTCCTGTCAGCCGGACGGAGGTGAGAAGGACGTCCCAGAGATTAGCGAACTTGAAAGTGGCGCCGTCCTTGGTTGGTGTTGGTGACGGCGGTGCCTGCTCGGGGTTTTCGCACCCCGTTGTGTGTGCGTGTCTGTATGTGTGTGTGTGTGTGTGTTCGCGTGCGCGCGCGTGTGTTTGTGTGTATGCGTGTGTGTGAGAGAGAGAGACAGAGAGACAGTCTGCCTGCGAGTGCTCGTGCGCGCACACGGAGCTTCTGCGCTAAACAAGGTTACAGGAATCCAGCCTCGCCCTGTACCAAAGGCAGCGCGAGTGCCGCTCCGATGAGACAGTCCGGTTCAGTTGGAGGGCATCCCCCGCGGCGTGTGCGCCCCTGCTGCCCCTACTGCCCCCGTTGCCCCCTTCTGCCGCTGCTGCTGTCACCGCACGGCGTGGAGGTGTTGGGGGTGGGGGGGAGGTTAACAGGGGGGAGGGGGGCTTTGTTTAGATAGATCGGCCCCTCATCAGTCCCAGAGGTAGTGTGAGGCGTGTGTAGTTGTGGACCGCTCACCTTCCTGTCTATATAAGTTGATGGAAACCGCTCTGGCTGCGTGCCGCCTGCCCCCCACCCCCACCCCCTCCCCCTCTCCTCTCAGCGTGTCTCGCAGGTGTTCTCGGGTCTGACTTTGCGCTGCAGCGTGTTGTTTCTCTTCCCCTCCTTTTCCGCACGCAATCTCGCCCCGAGTGGAGGATTAATGGACCCCCCCACACACACACACACATACACACACACACACCGCCACCCCAACCCCTACATTCTCCACAGGATCCCCGGAGCTCCGATGCGCGGTTCTTCTTACTCTTTATATCCAAACAACCTACTTTCCAAACAGCCATTTATCACTGCCACTATAATTTCCCTAATTGCTTGGTGAGTTTCGCGTTGTTTCCACACCAGTCTCGTTTTAAATTATCCTTTTTTTTTCTTTTTTTTTTTTTGTCGCCGCGGAGCGCATCTTGCAGCCTGAAGTTGCAGTTTAATTGAAATAAGAGCCGCAGGGCTTGTTGGATGCGTTCCAAACTGAGAGTTTAAAGCTCATCTGCAGGCAACGCAGACTGCGTTCCGACGATATCGTTAAGCAGGGGATCTTTTTTTTTTTTTTTTTTTCCTTCTTCTTAATTTCTCTTTCTGGATCGGAGTCCCGGTCCAATAATTAAGGGGACGCTCTGCTCTGCTCGGCTCTCCTCTCCTCACAGGGAGATCGATGCGCTCCCATATTGGCTGGCTTCGGCTCGCTGACTGATTTTAGCAGCGACAGAAATACCTCTTCATCCTTCCCGGCGGCCAAACTGCGCAGATTAGACCGTATAGCCTGTATGGAACATCGCGCATATAACGCGCGAACAGATTGGAGTAGCAGGATCAGGACCTCGCGTTTATGGGACGTTTCCAAGGAGCAGAGAAGAGGGGGGAGGGGAGAGGGGGCAGGTGGTGGTGGTGGGGGATTAACTAGTGGGGGTGGGGGTGTGGAGGCTACTTCAGTGGGCTTTGATGCAGAAAGAGAGCTTTGTTGTGTGCGGATTAAACCGCGGTCTTAAACCTACCAACCCAGACTTTTCAGTACAAAAAAATCAAACTGACTCTAGACATAGTTCCTGACCTATAGAACGTGGCACCACCGGACCTTTCTAGTTATTTTAGATGTGAATCAGTTTTTCATCAAGATAAAGCGTACTAAACGTGCCCTTGATGATATCTCTGTACTACAGTTCTTTCTCTCGTCTTGCCCGTTTTTAACGAAATCCCCCCTGTCAGGGATGTGTACTTGTACCCCGCACGTTTGAATTTCAGGAGAAGTTGGCAGCAATGAAACAAAGAGAAGATTGATTGTCTGGTGGGGGAGGGGTGTGGGGGGTGCGTGGGCATATCGGAAAAGATATGGATCTGGTCTCAAATCCTAAATCTATCGACTCTCGTGCCTCACGTGACGTCATCAGCCCGGACTCACCTAAATCGGAATTCGGTGTTGAGTTCGTCCCCGCTTCGCTTTTAAATGTCCTTGCGTTTTGTGCAGCTTGGCTCAGAAACCCATCCTTTTGTCACGCACTCTGTTTTCTTAGTGGAAATACAGCGCGCGCCATCCCGCAGCGTGTTTCATTGGCGACGTAAACGTCGCCCGGGAACCGGGAGGCTTTGTGGTAAAACAAAGAACGCGCTTCAGTCCGAAGTTGCACACTTTAATTTGAACTCCCATTGTCTTGCGTGCAGCAGCCCAATTATCAGTTTTCCGCCACCTACAAAGCGCATGTTCAATCACCTTCCATTGGAGCAAACCTTAAATAAATAAATAAATAAATAAATAAATAAATAAATAAATAAATAAATAAATAAATAAACTCACACGGGCTCACGCTGTGGACGCCCCAGAGCACAACTCTTCTCGTTTTGTGTGGGCCGAGTTTATTTTTAGCGCGGGGCCCTGTCGGACTGTTTTTGCGCGTCATTTTTCCACTGCGCGCGCTGTGAAAGTCGGCGCGGGGACTGAGCTGTTCTCCAGGTGCTGGAGCACCGACGGGGAGGGCTGCTTTTTTACTTTCTATATCATTTCATTTCTCTCCCCCTGTCACGCGTTCGGGGAGCTCTAGCAACCCCTGCCGTGAACGGCGACTCTGATCACGCAGATACACGTTTGTCAGGTTTCATTTTGGTTCTACTCTGGATGACGAGGAATCTTCACAGATCGCGCTCACCTGTCCGTATCCTCAAAGTTTAGCTTGATGGGAGCTCGTCTTAATGGATAAATTTTTTTTTGAGGGGGGGGTCAGAAAAGGGGAGGATACAGTTTCCAAGCAGCTTGTTGGATTTGCATGGTTGAGGGGAGGGGGGGGATTAAAAGAATCACCTGAAGGCAGTTCCAGCTCGGCTCCTGCTGCTGGGTGTGGGAGGGAGGGCTCATTGTCATGGTGAGTGATGTGTGACAGTGGTTGTGTCAGCGTGGTGCTCCGCGAGGACCTGCTGCGTTAAAGAGAATGGGAACAACCACACCGCCTCCATTCTAAACCCATTAGCCTCCTGTTTGTCCCCGTTTTTTCTAATCTGGGATCAATAGGGACCACGGCGGGGGGAAAATTACGCACGGGGAGAGTGCGTCGATACAATCACGGAACGGCTTTTTGCTTATCAAACCCATTGTGTTAGAATGGGTGGGCGGGAGGCGGGGGGCGGGGGGCGGGGGGACGGGAATAAATTAGTTTAAAAGAACAACCGATGTTCTGTTTTATATCCAGACGGAGTTAGGAGGCTTGTTTTTTTTTCTTTTTCTTTTTTTTCTCTTTTTTTATTGTTGCCGTGCTTCTCTCTTCTCCTTCACTCACGCTTGGATATAAAACAACAGTCTCGCCGCTGCCGGCGCTGCGCTGCGCTGAGCTGCGCTGTGCCGCGCTGCGCTGCCGAGTCGAGATGCGTGTGAACAAAAGCAGAGGCGCGACAGAGAGCCGCGGTGAGATCGGTTTTCCAGGCGCTGCGCTGCTCCCGGAGGAGACGTCACGGTTTGATTGAAGCTATGCTCCGTGTTGGCCTCCCGGGACTTGGCGATGAAACAGGAGAACCTTCCCCCCCCCCCCCCCCACCTCCACCCCCTCCTTCCTTCCTCCCCCACACAAAGCCCTCAATCTCCCTCCTCTTCCCTCCCTCCCTCCCTCCCTCCTCCCTCCCTCCCTCTCTCGGCGCTCCACAAAGCTTTTTGTTTCGACGAGGTCTGGAGCGCACGGGTCACTTCCCCGCAGAGATGTGTCGGGGCCCCCAGCGCTGCTGTTTTCACCCATCGCACTGGGAGCAGGGAGCCAGAGCGCATTATTCACGAACACAGCGGCGCTGTGGCATTTCCAGATCGGAAAATACAGACGCGCATGAATTTTTGTTGTCACCCCTCCCTCCCCCCTTCCTCCCTCCACCGCCACCCCAAATTAATGCGTTAAAACAAAAGCCCGAAGATGAATTCCGGCCTGAATTCTTTAAGAAAATCGGACAATCTGACGCATTATGAAAAACTGAAACCTTTAATTTCCGTGCCATGTTTCTTTGCTGTCAGAGTGATCTGTTTAGATCGTCCTGAAACCCCTCACCTCACAAGATCTAAAGGATTTAGAGGGTCTGGGTTTGTGGTGGACATGGAGGAAGGCTGATTCTGTACAATCTGAGCCATTTCATCTTCTTTGGAGTGACCCAGTCGAACCTATTTTCCCTTTTCTAGCAGAGGCCTACTTGTATTTGAAAATGTCCTGGTACTTCAAAGAGTTCTTGGTGCTTTGTACTCCAACAAGATTCTTTGTGGCCTTTGGAAGAGAAGCGACCCCACAGCATCATAGATCCTCTCCTGTGCATAAATAAAGTG